AAATAAATATCTATAGATACCAGAGTCCCCTCGAGCCACAGCGGACATTTCTGTGTTCGGACTTGTTTCAGTGTGATCTCTGGGCTCGTAGATTTCAGGTCAAGGTGACTGCAGAGACCTGAAGGTATGGAGCTTTATTGTGGAGAGGAAAGAGAAAGCGGAAGTAGCATCACTCACTCCTCCTACTGCGGTAATGGTCCCAGATGATGCTTTTTTTTATTCTACTCTTTTTACGTTTAAATTATTCTGCAAGATTAGATCCAAATAGTAAGATTTCTATCACATATTTTAATGAATATCCCCCTTTAAATAAATAAAAATATATCTTAAAAAAAAAACAGAAAAGAAAAGTTCAGCTTTGAAGCCTTTAACATGACAGCACAGTTATTTTCTACTTTGAAATGTTTTCTACATCTACAGGCACGAGACTAGTTTCTACATTAATGTCGTGAATATAAAAGAAATTCACAATAAACGACTTTTATCCCACTTTCCAACACTGCTTCAGAAAACAACTTAATATTTCTGTGATGGATGTAGATCATCACGTCACTGTGTGTTTTTAACATGTTTTGAAACACCAGGTTATGAAGTTAAATCACTGGAGTCTAAAGTTATAAAAAATCCACAGTTATATATCGAATATAATAAAACACTTCCACCCAGCGGACAGCGTCTTTCACTACACATACAAACATCACTGCTCTGTGTGGTTCTTGTACTTTTGTTTTCTTTTTAAATCTTTTTACAATCTTTGAAAGTCCAGATCCAGAGGAGTCACCACAATAAAACTACATTAGAAAAATCAGCTTGTTGGTAAAATAAAAGATAAAACCATTAAACCTCATATTTTTTATGCAGATTCCACTTTAATTTAGTTGCTTGGAAACATATAAATAAAAAATACCTGATATTTTCTGGGTTGTACTATTTACTGACACAATTATCTGGAAATGTTTTAGCTGCTCCCATCAAACTGATTTGATCCTGCAACATGAAATACCTCCGTCCATGTAGATTCACTGGACATTTCTCTAACTTGTCCTTGTGCATTTTATCTCACTGCAGATATTCTATCAGGAAGAACATTTTACTACACAAAGGAAAACAATTTGAACATTGCTTCTTTTTTTCTATTTAGCACAAGAACTATTCGCTTGTCTGTTCACGCGGTCGTGTCTTTCATTTTCTTACGTGTTTTACATTTAATCAGGATTTTATCCCTCCGGTTGTTTTGTTTTTTACAAAGGTAAACTTTTCAATTTTGCAAAACTAATTTCTTATTTCACCTGTTCTCTTGTATTGTTGTGTTATTTCTGCTTCATGTATTAATTCGTGCGCTCGGAGTGAAGCCGTGTCGTTCCACTGATGTTTGATTTTGTTATTCTGAGGTTATTATATTAGTTTCTTATATATATGATATTTTTCTCTAGTATCTCTTTGACCTTTTAACGCAAATGCTTGATTCTACCACACAACGTGTGTGTTATCAGTGCTCTGTCATTACAGCAGGATGACACAGAAGTAACTCGCCCTTTGCGTATTTAATGTGAGCTCTGTCATTTTATAATTTGGACATGAGGAGCGTTTCATTTACAAATGAACTGTTTCTGATTATTTGGTTTTATTCAGGCTGTTGTATATTACTGCGTTTCTTATTTTTTGGTGTGAGACGATTGTTAAAGTTAAATTGTTAAATTATCTACATAGTAAAAGAGATCATCTGGATTTACAAATGTATATAAATAAAAACAAGGCCTGTGTCAGTGATCGCCGCGACTCTCCTCGTCTGAAATGGGATTTTTTTTTTTTTTTTTAGCAACGACAATTAAACAACACACCCACACTCAGGCGCTTTTTAGGCATAAAATCCTTTGTTTTACGTTTTAATTCCCCGAGTAATGAAATTTCCTGTGCGCGCTGTCTGGTCTCAGACAATGACTTTAACATTTAGGGACAGTTGAGCCTCGGAGGAAGGAAAGAGCGTCCAATAAAACCATACAGCCTCGTCAGGATGACTGTCTGGGCTAAATTACTTTATGGTACCTCTCTCTGTGTGTGTGTGTCTGTGTGTGAGAGAGAGGGAGACAGAGTGTGTGTGTGTGTGTGTGTTGGGGGGGGAAAGTCACGTTTATTCTCCAAATGCATGCTGTTGCTTTATGACCCTGCAGGATGAGCGCTATGCGCGTTATATGGCCGCAATAAATGAGGGAAGCTACGAGGCTCTGCACTGACTTTGACAAAACAACGAGTCAGAAATGTCTCTCTGCGGACTGACACACGCACACACACACTGCACACAAACTACACACACTATGCATATACCTGAGAACAGCCAAACACCTTGACGTCACAATAAAACACATAGTAAATCCCATTGTTGAGCCATAATCCGGTGAAACGAACAAAAACACGACATATGCTGCTTCTCGTGTTTACTTCTTTTCCTCCTGCAGCTTCACGTCGTTAGAGATGTGGGAATAAAACACATTTTATTATTGTCAGTAGGTTCATAATCCTGCTGCAGTACCGTGATAGCATTTTCCCCCCTCCATTCAATAAAACCATGTATCCTAATGGAAGAATATAAATAACAATTTTATGAGATTATAGAATTCCAACCAAGCAAAATATGTTTATATTTATCATCCATACTTTTACTGTGAAGCAAAATCTGACTCCACTTTAAATTCTCATTTGCAGTTACAGGTTTTAAACTGTTGTCGGTAACTAAACTGCTAATATTCATAGAAAAGTCACTTTAAAGATATAAATAAAATCAATATTCTGCATAGAAGCAAAAAGAAACAACACACAGGACCTGTGATTACCAACGATGATGTCCTCCATCTTTTATTTCATTAAAAAAAGTCACCATGATGCATCTTAAACCCACATGAGCAGATGAAGGCCTCGTTTCATCACATCCCGACTGCACAGGCAGGCTAACATAGCCCCCAGAGACAAAGTGGTGTTTGTGAGTCCAACTCATCCTTGTGAAAAAGAAGACTGAGGGGGGGGGGCACTAAAATACCTTCAATGTGATGGTTTCAAGTGATGTCGTGATACTTTACATTCTGATGAGGAGGGTTTGTGCGTCGGTTACTGTTGGTACAGTCCTCGTCAAACAGGGATTGGAGCTGTTTATTCTTACAGGAGGTAAATTAACCATCACACTGCTGTCACAACATAGCTTAGCCATGACTGGTGTGTGTGTGTGTGTGTGT